AAATATCACAAAATCTTTGGTTTGTAATTTTTACTTCCTTATTATATTGTAACATATTTATTACACCAACTTACCGCAGTGTACTTTGAAGATAAAGGTTTGTATGTTTCATGTTAACTTTAATGCAGTTTAAAGATAGTTAATGCAATGAAGCAGGGTTGAGATAGAAAAAAGTGGTTACACTGGATGCAGTGGGATAAACAGGGTTCCCAGTAAACTGCATCAATTAAAAAAAGGAATTTTAAGTTACGAAAAATGGAACATGAGCAAGAAGATGAAAAAGTGAGAAAGAATTTATAAAAAAAAACTAATGGTATTTCACAATAGGGAGGACAAAGTAATAAGAAGAAGGTCAAAGAGGGCAATCGAAGAAAAAAATCCTTTGGATATTTATATAAATAGATAAGAAAGGGGAAGAATACGACATAAAGATGAGAAAAATTAGAGGTAAAAAAGGATGAGGAGGAAAGTAAGGATGAGAACTTGGAAGAGATGAGAAGGATGAATCCTACTCTCTTCTCTAGGTATAAGTATAACCAGCTTAAGACAGGGTTGAGGTGGATGCACCAAGGACCGGTTCCTAGCTCCAAGGACAGGTTTACAGGTATCAGGGTTCAATGCCAGGATAGAAACGGAGCAAGATAGAGATTGTTCCGTAGCCCTGCATTCTAACGGAACTAATATGCGTGTGCGTGAACAGTGAACATATGTGAAGAGAGCGTGCATAAGAGGGTATTAAGACTGCAAGCAAAGTCTGATTCCAAATCATTCATTTCTTCTCTTCATTAGCACTTGGCACTGCATTGCAACCATTTATAAAGACATATCACTAAGTGGTTTTTTAGTTCAAGTCTAAATTTTAGATGCACATAAAGAAGGAAAATTACGATAGAGTAGTTTATTTTTTGTAAGTGTCTTAAGGGTCAACCCCACAACCAAATTCTAAAGCTTTACATACTTTATTTCCCCTTTCAACATCTGTATGGAAATCTATATTCCCCAGGGGGGAGAAAAGGGGAAAGGTGGGATTGGGGCAAGGGGGGAGGGGATAGAGGAGGAGAGATTTTAATCTGTTTTGACAAAAGTGTTGATTTAAGATACCCTGAATACGTTGAACTGAGGACTAGGAAGCAACAATCCAGAAAGAAACTGAGTTTTTGAAATTTAAAATTTTCAAATTCCTATATCTTTGCAACCTGATGGTGTAAAACTTTCATATTTTAAACATAGATTATTTGGTCTAACAAAATTCATAGTTTGAAATGTCAGACATCGACATCGGGTTGCAAAGATTTAGGAATTTTAAATTTTATATTTGTGGCAAAAAAATCAATTCCTTTGTCTGACTGATGCAAAGTACATGAAACTAAAGACAGGAAATGCGTCAGTATGTAAAATACATAAACGAAAGAAAACCGGGTTTTGTCACGATAATATTTCTTCAACCATTTTCATTTCCTATCGTAAAAATTAATGTTATTCGTTAGCAGGGAATAAAGCCAAATATTCAAACTTTAAAATTAAATTCATATTTTTACTGAATTTATCCACTAAACCTCTGGATTTTTTAATAAAAATAACAATCCTATTCTCACAGTTACAAAAACTTCTGATGATAAATCCAAAAGAATATAGTAAATGATTTGAACTTTTAATATGACAATGTAGATCAAACAGATTATTTAACGTTTACATTTAAATTTTATAGTTATGTTATTCTAGAAATAGAAACATTTGATTAGTTTTTAATAATTAAAACTACACTTTAAAATAAAATAAAATATTGCATTTGCAAAACAATTTGCAGAATTATCTAGTTTTAGCAGTTCAAATACTTCCTTCTTAGAAACTACTGTGGATAAAATGTTCGATAATTGTTGCTGATTTTCTTTCCTTTTAAACCTCAATTTATTAATTTTTTTAAAGGACAAAAATCCCCAGAAAACTGCGTTCCCACTTCAGTTAGTAGATTCCACTTCCCCTGCTTTAAATCAAAAATAAATGGAAGAATATTTACCATGTATCGATAATATATTCCGAACTGCATCTAGTTGCATTGTTTACATAATGTACATGCAAATTTCAAGCTGTTGTCCCGTACACTTGAATAAATATACCAAATGTCAAGGACAAACGAGCAAAAAAATATTATCTTTCACACATATGTCAATGTTCAGTCCGATCCAACTTGCAAAAAATAAAATAATGTTACAAAAATGTGAAAAACAATGAGTTTAGCAAAAGTTTAAATTCCAAGCTTAGTGTCTTGACTATTTGGCTTGCAAGACTGAACTATAGCTAGTTACACGCTAAACCCTGATTAGGGTTTCACCCTTTCTTCTTTGTTAGCAGTTTAGACTGGCAATTTTGCTTCTTCAGTCTCTTCTTCCGATCAAAAATAACAAATATCGAATGTTAAGGGATTGTTCAAAAAAGAACAGAAATATTTTTCTTCATTTTGAAATGATATCATGTAAACTCTTCTATCCCAAACGGATATTTATTAGCCCAGTGTAAGATATCATATTTTACTACTCGTCTCTCAAAATAAAATAACAAAACAATCCCTTTACGACAGTTCAGCAAAAACAAACATTGAATATATATAAAGAGGGTTGAGACAGGGTGTTCGGTCTGAGTAAGGTTTAAAGCTGAACCCCCATTAAAAAGTGTTGAGTGTAGTTTAATACTGTGCTAGTAACTAAACTCTTATAAAAGAATATTTTAGCATTAAAAATATCCAACAGCTCTCAAATCATAAGATTTTCAATTCAAATTTTATGTATATTTCAAAGTCACACAAAACATCAGGATTTTATTGACTTTGTGCTCAATTCAAATAATCCCAAAAGAGTTACCATTGAATTTTAATGCCTTTAAAATGTAAAGCTTCATGAATGGGAAGGAGGGAGTTTTCACAATAAATTATTCTGACGCGTTTTTCTAACAAGTTTCCCGACGAAGAATTCCATGTAACAGATCCCCTAATGCAAATTTGTTTTTAATTCCCCTAATTTCCAGGGTTTTCTAAATCTCTGTCAGTCTAATCACAACACCGGAGAGAAGGAGGATAATCATACAGGAGAAGATTGAAATCCGTCCCTGTCCTAACTCAGAACAGAACCCAGGCTTAAACGATTAGAATAGAATGTAGTATATTGATAGAACAGAATATAATGGAGTAAACTGATAAATTGAAATAAAATGGAATATGCAGATAAAGAAGAATAGAATGGAGTCGGATTGAATTGAATATAATAGATTTTACAGATAGAGATGAGTAAAATGGAGTAAGCGGATAAAGAATAGAATTTAGTAAGCGGATAAAAAAGAATATAATGGAGGATACGAGTAGAGAATAATAGAATGGATTATACGGATAGAGAAGAATAGAATGGAGTATACGGATAGAGAAGAATAGAATGGAGTATACGGATAGAGAAGAATGGAATGGAGTATAAGAATAGAGAAGAATAGAATGGAGTATACGGATGGAGAAGAATAGGTTGGAGTACACGGATAGAGAAGAATAGAATGGAGTATACGGATAGAGAAGAATAGAATGGAGTATACGGATAGAGAAGAATAGAATGGAGTATACGGACAGAGAAGAATAGGTTGGAGTACACGGATAGAGAAGAATAGAATAGAGTATATAGATAGAGAATAATATAATTGAGTATACGAATAGAGCAGAATAGAATGGAGTATAAGGTTTGAGTTGAATATAATGGATTATACAGATAGAGATGAGTAGAATGGAGTAAGTTGATTAAGAATAAAATTTGGTAAGCGGATAGAAAAGAATATAATGGAGGATACGAATAGAGAATAATAGAATGGAGTATACGGATAGAAAAGAATAGACTGCAGTATAAGAATAGAGAATAATAGAATGGAGTATACGGATAGAAAAGAATAGACTGCAGTATAAGAATAAAGAATAATAGAATGGAGTATACGGATAGAGAAGAATAGACTGCAGTATAAGAATAGAGAATAATAGAATGGAATATACGGATAGAAAAAAATAGACTGCAGTATAAGAATAGAGAAGAATACATGGAGTATACGGATAGAGAAGAATAGACTGCAGTATAAGAATAGAGAAGAATAGAATGGAGTATACGGATAGAGAAGAATAGAATGAAGTATAATGAGAGAAAAACATGAGATGGAAAAGAAGAATTCTAAGTAGAAAAGTAGAAGAAAAAAAAAGAATAATCAAGATTAAGAAATATGAATTAAGGAAATTAGCAGAAAATGGATAGAAAACCAACACAGTTAGAATCATGCATATAAAATAGATTTATCAGGACGAGGAGTAAAGATAGAAGATGTTCTGAATTGTATACGTGGATTAAACTATATTTATATATATAATATATATACAATACATCCAGTCTTTCAAACCAGTTTCAACCTCCCCCTCACCAGATATGATGATTAACCAGGATACAGGTTGGGAGGAGGAGGAGGAGGGGGGGGGGATGTTAGTTTCTGAGAATTATCTAGAATTTTTAGATACGTTCATTATAAAAAATATCTCAACCAATATTTAATTTATAAAAGAAGAAAGAATTTGGAATTGTTAATTACGAACAAACTATGATTTTTAATTAGAATCTATTCTCAGAATGATAAATATGCTAAGATTAACAGATATTTTAAATTTTATATTTTAGTTTAAATTACTTGATCGATATAATTTATAAACAGTGCATATAGTTCAAGGTTTTATTTTATACATATTTTTACAAAATTTAAACAAACACCAAACTTTCAATTTCTTAAATATTTATATAAAAGTTCTAAACAATAATATTTTGTCTTGAATAAATTATAAAACTTTAAGAAATTCTTAATGTATTTTATAAATTATTTAAAAAAAACAAAGATTAAGGAACACGAAAGAAATCCAAATAATGATATTAACAAAAACTTGAGACCGATAACCCCTAAATAATGGAGTCCCGAAGAAATGAGAAAATGATCCCTACCTCAGAATAAGAATTTCTGAATCCAAGTTATCAGGGCTCGGCCGACTTATAAAATTGAGACTCAAGAATGTATGTAGCACTGATATATCGAACTAGCAACTAACTATCCAACTACTGAGCTATCCCAGCTAGTAAACACTGACAGGGGTTTGTTTAACACGTTATAACTAAATGATTCACGTTGTGAAAGTTGTGTATGTATGATATATCTGGAGTAGAGTATAGAACAAGTTCTATAGTCTATAATTGCAGGGTTGGGAGAAAGTAACTCCTCTCTTTGCAACAGATCTAGTCGGACTGAAGCGCGCACCGACAATCGACATACCGCGCTGCTCCAACTCTGAACTTGAACTCAACTAGGGGACTCCGACAGCTGGCAGAACCAAGCTGTCACAGCTTGAAACCAGCTGCTGTCAAGCTGCCAGCCATTGCCCTGTCTGCCTACAGGCAGGTTGGAAGTTGGAACCAGTGTCCCAAGTAAGAACCGTGTATTCGTAGATTAAGTAGACAATAGGAGTCGACTTTCACCAGAAATCTCAACAATACTATAAATGCGTTATCTTCCTTTCATCCTAAACCTTTCTCCTTTACTAATTCTATTTTTTTGTTCTCTCCTCTTCCATCCTTACTTTATCATCACTTAGATCAATCCATCCGTTTCCTTTTTTATCCGTACTTTCTTATTTCATTCATATTTCCCGTCATTTTCTTTACTTTCACCTTCATCATACTCCTTCATACTCTCCTTCATTCATCTCTCCTCATCCGTCTTTACTCTCTCTCACCTCGTCCATCTTTTCTCTCTCTTCATCCATCTTTACTCTCTCTTGATCCATCTTTACTCTCTCCTTCATCCATCTCTACTCTCTCCTTCATCCATCTCTACTCTCTCCTTCATCCATCTCTACTCTCTCCTTCATCCATCTTTACTATCTCCTTCATTCATCTTTACTCTCTACTCATCCATCTTTACTCTCTCCTCATCCATCTTTACTCTCTCCATCATTCATCTTTACTCTCTCCTTCATTCATCTTTACCCTCTCCTCATCCATCTTTACTCTCTCCTCATCCCTCTTTACTCTCTCCTTCATCCATCATTACTCTCTCCTCATCCATCTTTACTGTATCCTTCATTCATATTTACTCTCTCCTCATCTATCTTTACTCTCTCCTCATCCATCTTTACTCTCTCCTCATTCATCTTTACTCTCTCCTCATCCATCTTTACTCTCTCCTCATCCATCTTTACTCTCTCCTTCATTCATCTTTACTCTCTCCTCATTCATCTTTACTCTCTCCTTCACACATCATTACTCTCTCCTCATCCATCTTTACTCTCTCCTCATTCATCTTTACTCTCTCCTTCACACATCATTACTCTCTCCTCAACCATATTTTCTCTCTCCTCATCCATAATTACTCACTCCTCGTCCATTTTATTTTTATCCACATTTACTCACTAACTCATCATTCCTTTATCCTCCCTTTTTAATGCTTAGATTACTTCCCTTTATTGTTTTCTCTTAAGTCCTTTTACTTCTCCTTTAATATTTGTTCTAAAAAGTCCAATTACTCTGTAGATTAATTTGAATTCTTTTTATATATCTGTGAGAGTCCTTGTATCTGATAATCTAAACCTTTTATTAAGTTAATTCATTCCTTAACTCTTCCCCCATCTCCTTACCCTTTCATCCACCAATTTCCTGTATAGTAGATTATTCAATGATTCCTACATAATTACAACCAACATGAAAATCTGTTTATCTAATGTCGAAGGGGTAAATCTGATAAAGGGACTGTATACAAAATTTCAAGTGACCCTAGAAACAATAATCAAAAATTACAGAAATTTACTTTTTGTTTTCTTTTAAATTGATCATTTTCTACGGTGGTTTCTGTATCTATTTGAACTACGGTATTTTACGGCACGTAATTTAAAGAATTCAGCAAATATTTGTGATGTAAATAAATTTTTATATATTTACCCATCATCCATATCATGTTATATTATTTTACGTATTTTGCTATTTCGTTCTCAATGCATAATATATTTGAGCAATAATCTTATATTTGGCACTCAATTGCACTCCAATTTTTTGCACTTCCATTTATTTTTCACCCTGCTTTTTAGAAAATATTGCAAATATTAGAACAATTTAGTCCCTCCTGAATGTCAATTTTCGAGGCCTATTTTTAAAAAAGAATTTTACATCGATTTTGTATTTTATCGTCCTACAGTCCGGTCATTTTAGCCTTCACTTTGGGAAACTTAGAATATCAACTTTCTGATCTGCTAAGGAAATTAGAAAGAGAGAAAAGAAAGTATGAAAGAAAAAGAGAAAGTTGATTAATAGTATTTAATTACTAACTAAGTTTTCAACCAATTAGAAGAGAACTTGCAATACTAATATATCATACAGTTAGAAAAATTAAATGTTATAGTTTAAGTGTTTACTTTTTACATATTTAACTAGCTTGGGGTTCCCAAGTGCCAAGGTTACTAAAAGTTACTCCCGCCGTTTACCCGCACTGGACCGATTATACCATGAAACAAGATTTTCACTATTAAAGCCGACCCATCCAACTTAGAATCTCAAACCAAGCTAAGAACATTCTCGTGGGTCTCTCGAGTTCCACAATCAAAATTTGAGGCAAATCGGTCCAGGGGTTCCTGAGTTATGATCGGACAAACAACCAAACAAACAGACAACTTTATATTAAATAGTGTACGAATATATCGGTTGACGACAGTACAAACGTTGTTATCTTGAAGTATAAAATTTAAATAATCAAATCTATTTATTGATTAATAACAAATATTATACACTGGAAACAAAACAATCAATTAGTTATTAAATTTCAAATAAATTTAAAAAATAATAGTTGACTTTTTCCCGAAAAAATTTTTTTTTGATATGAATAAAATGAATAAATTCAGCTAATTACAGTATAAAAATGCCGAATGACTGTACTAAATCTCCAAATCCAAACTATCACACTGTACAAAAACCAAAATCTAGACTCCAGAGATTCAAGCAGAAATATCAACTAATCCAATACAGTGTACTGTGTTGTTTTATTTCTCTGAATTACATGAATAAATATGTCGGACTAGAAGACCTCTGGGAATAAAATAAGATTGAATTGTGCTGAGAAGGAAACCAAGAGAGATAAAACCTTTGTGAAAAAGTTTACAGTGCACGAGTTTTTGTCCAGGTTCAGGTTGGAGCAGAGACGTGATAAAATATCTTAAAACTCATCATGACATTCAGACTGGGGGGTTTAGGGGTATACAGGTATATAGGCCGGTGTTGTTAGAGGTGCAGGGAAGGGTGTTAAAGGTATATAGGGGTTAGGGGTACAAAGGGGGGTTATAGGAATAAATGCACTTTAGAGGGGTTTAGAGAAATACAGGGGGTTTAGAAGTATACAGGTGGTTTTTAGGGGTTTACGGGTTTACGGGTTTACAGGGGGCTTAGAGAAATACAGGGGGTTTAGAGGAATAGAGGGGGTTTAGGAGAATACAGGAGGGTTAGAGGTATAAGAAAAGTCTGTATGTATGAACCATTAACAAACATTGACAGAACATTGTGGCTTAATAATCTACGTTTTCCTTGTCTTTTTATCAGTCGGAATCTCCGAAAACTGAGAAATATTTGTACTCACTAGTAGAAGAAAACCCGGCCTAACCCTAGATAAGAGATATGTGATCCCTAAAAATGTCAGTATACAATTTTGCTAATTAGTAGTTGTATTCTAACTTAATAACGTTTATTTGCCCTATCAAGTATGACTAGAAAAGATATGTACTCAATAACACTTGGTTAATTTAAAATCAGGTTTATTGAAATCAGATTTATCTACATATACAAGGACAGCAACCCGTGTTAATTGATAATTAGAACGATCCAACCATACTTACTTTTGTGAAGAAAAAAATCAAAACTTTGTCAAATCAATTTTATTTTAAAAGAGACTTTAATTTCCAGTTACCCTCCATGCAAAAATGTCAATTCACGATTCACACCGATACCCTTGAAACCTTTATCTGATCAATGTGCAGATATTGTCGTTTTTCAAGGTATAAAGTGTTTAATTCTGATATTTACTATCTGTTTTCATGCAGTAGAAATGCGCAAGTCGCTTTTGTAGGGAACCCACAAGTGAAATTAAATTTTTTCAACATTATAAACATCGATATCAATTCATACTTGGCCAGACGATTTTAAAGGTGCCGTTGTGATCAGGCATTTCATGTAGATTCACTTGAAATTACGCTCACAGTCCCTTTAATTGTACATTTCTTCCAACCCTATCCCTCTTGAATTTAAACTTTCATTTTCCATGGCTTTAGTTTATAAATATAGCAATACATGTAAAATACTAATGCTAGAAGTGTTGTTGAATAAATAGAAAATTCAACAATTTATCGTTATCATTGACCTAGATTAAACAGCAGTGTTTTCAACAGGGCTCTTTATCAGCAAATAGTGAAATCAGTGAAAGTTCAGTTTCTTCATTTTTTATAATTTCAAACTGTTAAATGAATTCGATATTTCGTACTTTATGTATATCTTCTTTATAATAAAGCTCTTCATTCATATATATATTTTTGTAAGTTTGTTAGATATGGGCTGACATTTTTTTTCGGGAATCCATGGTTTGAAAAAAAAAATTCTTAAAATTTTGAATTTTTTCTCTCAAAACCTGGAAATTTATTTTTTCAAATAAAAAATATTCTATGGCACTTCAGCTAGTTCAATAATAAAGTTGTAGAGGTATATTTAAGGAGGGACAGAGGCTTATATTGGGAGGAGTGTGGAGTTAGTAAAGGAATGGAGGTTTTAGAAGGAATGAAAGTTCATAAGAAGGGATGGAGATAGATGAAAGGAATAGAGGGATAAAAGAAGGAAAGAGTTGGAGGTATATGAGAAGGGATGGAGGTATACGAGATGGTGTAGTTGAACTTAAGGGATAGAGGCATATGTGAAGGGATGGAAGTATATTAAAGGAATTGAGGAATATGAGAAGGAATAGAATTGGAGGTATATGAGAAGGGATGGAGGTATATGAAAGGAATAAAGGAATATACGAAGGAATGGAATTGGAGGTATATCAGAAGGGATGAGGGTATACGAGATGGTATGGAGGTGTAGTTGAACTTAAGATATGTGAAGGGATGGAGGTATATAAAAGGAATATAACAAGGTATGGAACTAGAGGTTTATATGAAAAGGGATGGAGGTATAGAGTGGCAAACAAGAACGAATGGAGACATACACAATGGAGTTATATAAGAAGGAATAAGGAGGTAAATGAGGAGGAATGGA